TTACAGTGACATAACCTCAAAATATAAAAATGTTAATATCTTTTTTTTGTGGCCTTCTTAAATTAAAATTCTCGATGATTATGCTTAAGTAATAGATCCCCTATGATTTTAACATTTTTTCGGACATAGACGCTTCAAACCGATTCCAGGTAAAGTGTTGTATGGGAACTTGCCATTGTTCTTTGACAAAATCTATATCGGCACCCAACTTATTGATATTCCAAAGCAAGTTTTAGTGCTTCTTTCTAATAAAATAATTTTAACTTGTCCTAGCTGGTGCACTTGGACATGGCTCCTAACTACGTGGGCACACTGCTGGGCATCACTAATGGGACTGCTAACATCACATCTATCATAGCGCCGCTGGTGGCCGGTGTTATCTTGCGAGATGAGGTTAGAAAAAAAACAACTGTCAATTGTTTTCTTTCTGGAATAGGAGGCAAACGAGCAGACGGATCACCTGATGGTAACTGGTCGCTTCGGAAATACCGCCGATGACCGATCACACTACAGTGTTACATTATATTACATTTACCTGTGTTAACAATGAAAATACTGTCTCTACTTAAAATTAACTGAAATTTTACCGATTTAACTCAAATCTTTTATTTATATAAAGAATCTATACATTATCTATAACACCTGTTATGATATTGGGTCCCCTGTAACAGTGAGCGAGGCATATAGATTAGGTACAATAATATAGGACTTGTATTTATGTGACACCTACTTTTACCAATTCTGTTATTAGTTTTATGTTACAGTTAATGACGTAGGTGAGTATTACAATAATATAAAAGGCATAAAAAAGACTCATCAATTATTACAGTCATATATGTAGTTATCTTTCTTGTAGAACAAACTTTTTAAAAAAGAGTAACGAATGGAGTTTCTTGCTCGTTCTTCTCCATTCGAATCTATATTTTGGAATGAGTACCTAGCTTCACCTAGCTTCACTGACGGACTGAATGACAGACTATTATTTATTTTGTATTTATTGATGTTTCAAAAGTACCAAACTTTGACTTTGACTTTCCAATCAAGTACAATAAGTATTTTATAGTTTGTTTATAAATAAGACCATCTTAATTTTATTTTCTTATTTACCAGACGGACCCCAACGAATGGCGTAAAGTTTTCTACATAGCGTCTGCAGTATACATTGCGGGGAATACTTTTTATCTCATTTTTGGCACAAGTGAAAGGCAGAAATGGAACGAGCCACCCGAGAATCAAACTGGTAATGTAATTGAATAGTCTACCAACATGATAATCACAACGTCTTCTCTACAATAAGAATTTTCTTTACTTACAAATATTAGAACTACTCTCGCTTGTTCCATTTTCCGATTGCTTTCTTTTGTGTTCATTTTGATTGAAAATTATTATTGTTACAGGTGAAACACCTGACAAAGTGGTTTGAAGAGGAGTTATCTTTTATCAATAAAATAATGTACGAAAATAATTATTTGTTCCATTTATTTTAATGTATAAATACTGGCAACTGGCTTATAATAAAAGATTAGATATAGTTATATCAAACGCTAACACCAGAATTTTCACCGAACGTTTCCGATCTCTTTGACTGGATTTTAGTGTGACATGGTTCTCATACAATTGGACCAACAAAACTTTGTAACTAAAGAATTGTATTGTGAACCTGAATGAAAAACGGTAACCTATGGAGTTTCTTGCTCGTCCTTCTTCATAGGAAACTAAACCTTGGAATGAGCAAATAGCTTCACTTTTAATTTTTTTGTTGACATTCAAAAGTGCCCTTCTGGTCTACTTGAAATAAATGATTTTGACTTTGCGCTATTAACACACCCTACTTACCTCCGATCTAAGTATTAAATCAAGGTCATCAAAATCCCAAATTGACTATGATATGTCTCACAAAACAACAACCACAAGTCAAGAAATACTATATAAGGATAGATCAAAACAGGAAAAACCACAAACCATAGCAAACACAAAATATTCAGGAGGCAAAATTGCAATATTTATCATGAATCGTCATTACAGTCGTTGAGGAAATGAAGATAGACGGAGGATTACCTTATTGTAGTACTTACGTATACCGTTACGTCACGTTGTCAGTACGTACAGACAATAATGTACCTTATTACACATTATCCTCCTTGAGGAAGAGTAAGCTGACGTCACGAAAAACTGGCCAGGGAAAGTCCAGCTTAGGGGCACGACCATCTTAGAATATGAAGTCAGGTTTAAACGTATCTTACTGATATAAAACAAATTGTCTACAATAATGATCTTATTGCTACGGCAGGGGATTTGAGTGTATCCATTGTATGGCAATAGGCCTAAACAACTCTAATTTAGGGTGCTTCGGAATCAATCCTACTATCATAATAAAGGCGATAGTCTGTATGCTATTTTGTTTATTACTCCATCACGTCAAAAAGACTGCAGCGGTCGGGATGAAATTTGGAATTTTGGTAGAATATGGTCTGCAATAATACATGGGGCACTTTTTATTCCACTGGAACGAGGCTTTTTTTTTTTTTTGAATGGGGGAAAATTATCGAATGACTACTCCCGCCTGGGTGAGGCGGAAGGGAGTGTCAGACTCTTACTGACTAAAAACAACCCCGTTCCTTCTCCTGCACGTCGAGCCGGAGCCCCGGTTACCTGTTAGGTTCTCCGCGACTCCGAATCGGCATCGGCCCTATTGGGCCCCATCTATGGTGGTCTGATGGCTCTTTGAGGCGCGCGCGGAACGCGACGCGCCGTACGCTCGGGTCTGTTTCTGGTCGGACGGGGAGCCACCCATGCTCACCGTCCGCAGGCCCGCGCTTACGGTGGCCGGAGATCGTCCCGCGATCCCCGACGCCCGGTGTGTCCTTCGCGATGGCTGGGATGCGAGGAGGCAGCGCTTCGCTGCCTCACGCGTCCCGCCTCCTCCTTAGCTAGCATGACTGCTTCGCAAAAGGAGGAGACGGCATCCCAGTCCCCCTCGCTCCGCATCATGGCCTGCACTAGGCCCGGACGCGAGAGGTCTCCATCGCCGATCACTTCCCTGAGGGCACGGCGGTGCTCAGCCCACGCAGGGCATTCCGCAACAGTGTGTTCCACCGTGTCCTCAGGGTGGTCCTCGCAGTGATGACACCCGGGCGTTTCCTCCCGCCCCATCAGACACAGGTACCTCCCGAAACTTCCATGTCCGGTGAGGAACTGCGTCAGGCGGTAGGTGAGGACGCCGTAGCGTCTCTCAAGCCACTCCTCGAAGAGGGGACTTACCGCTGCAATGGCAGCGAGCCCAGCCCTCGGTTGCGACAGTCGTTGCTGCCATTCCGCCATGAGATCGCGCCGAAGCTCATCCCGCCACGCACTTATCTGGCGCGGCAGCGGAGTTTCGCCCCGGCAACGTGCCTCCGCGCGCATGCGATACACGCGCGCGAGCACCTTCTCCTCCAGATCCTACGGCGGTAATCCGACAAGGAGGTTCGCCGACTCCCCAGAGATCGTGCGTCAAAGTCAAAGTCAAAGTCAAAGCATTTATTTCAACTAAACCATAGTTTGGTGCTTTTGAAACGTCAACAAATACAAAATAAATAATAGTCTGTCAGTCAGTCCGTCAGTGAAACTATGTTCTACAATGTCTCTGATACATATTTCAATACTGTACGCATATGTAAGAACAATGCAAAGACATGCTTGACGAATTATACTAATAACTTATGCGGTATCCGCGGATCATTCTCGGACAAAAGCTAGTATGTAATATGGTTGCACTTTTGGCAACTAATTTCACAGCCATATGAACATTACAAATATGATCAAAACAAAATATGTTTAGATAAATAATCGAGGTTTATTTGCATGATATTGAAAGTTGTCATTTAACGAGTGGGATTGAGAGGGAGGCTTTTGTTCAGTTGTTGCCATCTTCCGCAGAGTAAATGTGTGCAATATTGCCGGCCACGTTTTATTCTGGCTACGTGGGCAAAGACGCTGGCAGAGGCTAGTTGACAATCCTATTAATATTATAAATGCAAAAGTTTGTATGTTATATTGTGTGTTACTCCATCACGTCAAAACGACGTAAGGGATCGAAATGAAGAAAGGGTGGTTTTTAGTCAGTAAGAGTCTGACACTCCCTCCCGTCTCACCCAGGCAGAAGCTTGGCAGCGTGTTGGTTCGGCTCCACTGGACAATACTCAAATGTAGTCAGTACCTAGTTCAGATTACGATAATATGTAATTTAATACTTTGATTCCGATGAAGGCAATCTATTTTCCTTTTTTCTTGTGGCATCGAGCATTTCTTTCTTGTCAGTATACATATGTGATGACCATGTCAGACTTAAGATATTTGTTTTCTCTTGGTTTTGTTTTTTATTTTAGTACGTTCAGGTTATTTGTATGTTGCGTCAGGTATGTCTTTACATTATTCTCACATGTGTGTACAATATTGGAATATGTATCAGAGCAATGTAAAACAGACTTTTTTTTAAAAGAGTAACGAATGGAGTTTGTTGCTCGTTCTTCTTCACTCGAATCGACATTTTGGAACGAGCGCCTAGCTTCACTGACGGACAGACTGACAGACTATTATTTATTTCATATTTGTTGACGTTTCAAAAGTACAAAATTATGGTTTAGTTGAAATAAATGCTTTTGAGTTTGAGTTTGAGAAGAAGTCATGATACTTTTTTTTACGAGTGAATGAACATTATTTTTGCAATAGAGGTGGAAAAACGATAGCAACTAATAATAATTAATTATTGAATTTTTTTTTGATAACTCTTTATTGATTAGTGTGATTGGATATTGTATCTTCAGTTCTACAGTTGTATTCAAATAAATAAATTCAAATTGTCTACAAAATAGGGACCAGCCTATATATTATTTAACAGCATAGCTACTTAATTACCACTTGTAACCGCAAAACGTCATTACAGTTGTACCATAAACAATACATAAATTGTCCGTGGCATTGACTGAGATGCCTTTGCCCGTGAAAAAACAATCGAGTGAGTCTATCGACAGGTAGCGCGCGCGCAACACTAGCGCGCAGCCTCGCGACGAAATTATAAACGAATTTATAATATTATTTATTTTAGTGATGAAATAATTTAATATTATTATTTAAAATATTATAAAGAATTTTATTAATAAAAAATATACTATAATAAATTTTGTGCAGTTGAGTTCTATCAGTTTTAATAAAGAAAATGCCTGAAGAAGCAAATAAAATGGATAAAGGTGAGTTCTTAATTATTACTTTAAATGTCAGTGATTGTTGTTTTGACCTAGAACAACTGTTAATTTGCTCTTGTTTAGTAGTGTAAGTTTAAAACATTTATTGTTGACAATGTCAACGTTTTAAAAACTGCTGGTTATTCACTATCACATATTTAATGATATAATTAACTCTTTAACTACCAGCTGTATCAATTATAACTATGTCAATCTTGTTTGTTTTGGATCATCAAGCTACCTTTAAACTGTAGAAATTATTTGAATATAATTTACAACTTTATTATTTTATTTATGTATATGACAATAGGCTTACCCCCTATTACATGGGACTCATAACATAAATAGTGAAAAGTAGATGTTGTATTGTGCATTAAGTGCCGTAATGTGCACTTCTGCCTACCCCTTCGATTATCATAGTATTATTTTATAATGAAGTCGAAAATAATAGTACAAAAATAATTTCAACTTAGTCAAGTTCAATAAGTAATTTTTTATTGTTTGAAGTAAATTTAGGTCTATAATTGTGAGAAGAACACTACTCAAGGTTATTTTTCTTCTAAACTAAAAGTTATATAAAAGAACACCCGTGATTTCCCGTAGAGTTGTTACTTCACCATATGTGATCATTATCTACGGTGTCCATTAATTAACCGCGAAGTCTGTGTGTATGTAGTACATTCTAATCTTTTTATATACCAAACTATTTCACACAAAAAGATCCTTAATAAACCATAAATATATATAAACAAAAGAACTAGGTAATTAGTTATATATGAATATCAATGTATGTTAATTTGTGTAATTCAAAAACCATAACATAGGTAAATAAATATGTTTTTTTAAAGCCAAGGTCGAATGATTTCTCAGTACTTTTGTGACATAAAAATCATCACTTGAGCTTGTCAACTGATCATATCAAGTGAGACATTGTCAAGATTATCTCGGATGTAAATAACCACTTCAATCTTTATCCTAAGCAAATGTTTGAGTATAAACATAAGTAGGTACTTATTCTCAAAAGTAACCAGGGGATAAAAATATTTATCTTGTGATATTATTCTACCTCGTTAGAACAATAATTCTTTTATAAACTGCATTTAAAACACCGACTTCAACCCCCTTTCTTTTTGAAGTCGGTTTATTGATATACTGAAACATTTCACATAACATAACATCACGCCTTTTATCCCCGAAGGGGTAGGGGGTAGGCAGAGGTGCACATTATGCCACTGTACAATGTGACACCCACTTTTTACTATTTATGTGATGAGTCCCATGTAATAGGGGGTGAGCCTATTGCCGTATACTGGGCATAATCCCAGACTCCGTGCTACTACTGAGATTTTTTTTAAAACCCAGTAGTACTTTGCCCGACCCGGAAATCGAACCCGAGACCCCTTGCCCGGCAGTCGCACTTGCGACCACTCGCCCAAGGAGGCAGTCATTTCATATTAACAAATAATATTTCTCTGAAAATAGAATCACAATCGTTTTAGGCATTCCCGAGATATTCGCTCACAAACATACATACAGGTCAAATTAAGAACTTCCTTTTTTAAAGTCGGTTAAAAAACTACTAATTTGCGTATTCTTCTTCTTCTTCTTATGGTGCCACTTCATTCCTGAAGGTTGGCCGTCAGCTATTTGAATTGGTCCTTGTCATTGGCCAGGCGGAAAAGTTGTTCCACAGAGCTGATACCAGTCCACTCCCGAATATTGCGCAGCCTCGACTTTTTCCTTCGTCCAGCGCTTCTCTTCCATTCCACCGCGTATTGGTATTGCCAAAATGTTGTGGAGGTATCTACTTAAACTGTCAAATACCAAGCGGTCACCGGTGACCGCGACCTATTGTTCTTTAATTGTGTCTATAAAACCGGTACTCGACGAGTTAAACACTGCACGCGACACAGGAATTAATATTGAGACCGATTACTTACGACTATAGAATACACGTACAAAAATTATTGTTTCTACACTAAAACACATTTCCAAAATCTTTGCAATACATTATAGATAAGAGATTTTGAAATGAAAAGGACTGACTGACATACTTGTTGCTGACCCGGAAATTAAATCAGCTGGTTGATCGACTATGTTAATGTCAAAACATAGAAACTGTACATTTTTTGTTAGCCAGGAGTTCAATCATAATAGATTTTGATTATATAATGTTGATGTGAATGACCTTTATGAGGAAAGGTCCCGTAAGTATTTGAGATCGCGTCGGAGCAAAGTTTTACCTACTCAGATTGCAAAAAACTTAGTAATAAGTATCGCAGTAAAGTTTGTGCATAATGTATGACTTTAATACTTACTACCTGGACTGTCTCGTTGGCCGAGTTGTTGCAAGTGCGACTGCCGGGCAAGGGGTCTTGGGTTCGATTCCCGAGTCGGGCAAATTATTACTCAGATCTAAAAAAAAACTCAGTAGTAGCACGGAGTGTGGAATTGCGTCTGGTATATGGCAATAGGCTCACCCCCTATTACATGGGACCCATACCATAAATAGTGCAAAAGTGGGTGTTACATTCTACAGTGGCATTAAGTGCCGTAATGTGCACATCTGCCTACCCCTTCGAGGATAAAAGGCATGATGTTATGTTATGTTTAATAGAAACATTTTTTTACATATCTAGCAATAACTTTTAACCTAACTAGCAATAAGTAAAAACACAAATAGCCTACACCTTCAGTAGTTAGGTAATTCACAAATACCTAGTAGTAGACATCTTTATCATGGCACAAGGAAACGTTCAATATTTATGGTAACAGTTTTCCTTAGAGCCATTTTATAGTTACCTACTTACTTAAATACGATGTTTTTTCTAAAGATTCCATTCGAGTTTATAATCTGAATTATGATGTTTTCCTCATTGCCCCCGTACTTTATGTTATTCAATAGAAATACAGTTCCCCTTTTAAATGAAAGTCGGACTTCTGCCATTAATAGATATTATTTACTATAGACCAGACCATAGAATATGACTGCACGGTTGGTGCGATGGCTGGGCAACCGGCTGCCGTGCAACGTGTCGCGGGTTCGATTCCCGCACGGAACAACACTTTGTGTGATCCACAAATTGTTGTTTCGGGTCTGGGTGTCATGTGTATGTGAAATTGTATGTTTGTAAACGCACCCACGACACAGGAGAAAATCCTAGTGTGGGGCAACGTTTTTAAATAAAACAAAACAAAAAAAATATTCTATTGTTACCTATAATACATTTATTACATACATTACGTTACACGTCACATATAATATTTTATATTACCTTAAATCACGTGTTCATAATTGATGCAACAATATTATAAGATTTGTGAGTACTTTGTAAGCAAACAATGGCTGGGTGTCTGCTCACCCGTGACGGGACACGAGCGTGAAGATAAGATTAAATACAACTGAAACTTGAATTCATTATACCTCGCTCATATTATCTTGTTATACATTACCTGTTGATTTTGTTTAAAGTAAATTCGATAGTTTTGTCTATTTTTTAAACCTAGACAAAAGTATATAGTAACTTCACACCACGTGTTTGTATCTATGCAAATATTGTAACAGGAGTTGTATGGGATAACCCCTAAAAATATATATTTTTTTATTTATGTGGTTATTGCGAGTAGTAATGTGAATTCAATTGCCTGGCTTTTGTGGGCCTGGCTAGCGCATTTAATGAGACAACCTGGAGGCAGATAGCGGTGTCCCTATCTATCTATATATATAATAAAATCGTAGAAAAGTCAAAAGTGTACACACGGCCACATATCAACCTATACAAAACCAGTTTATCCTGGTGTCGCGTCGCATCATCTTTCCGCACATTTAACGTTCAGTTTATACTGGTTATGTAAAGCTTGATGTGTAGCCGTGTGTGCCATGAAATATTTTTATTAAAAATACTTGGGGCGTGATCTACAATCTATACCAAAGCCAAAATATGGTTTTTAGATTTTTTGTCTGTTTGTCTGTATGTATGTCTCCAAAAGTACTACGTGGATTAACTTCAAATTTTGCATGAATATTACTAACAGGTCGGGTCAACATATAGGCTATATATTATCACGCTATTATCTACAGAAGAGGAGCTGTGAATCATACTTCCAAGCGAACGAAGTCGCGGGCAACAGCTAGTATAATATATAATAGGTCCTACTTTTATGTTTTGGATATAGACCCTTCAAAATAATAGTAGTTAGGTAGTAAAAGGAGGAAAAAGTTCTTGAGCTGAATCCATCAACTCATATTTGCTACCAATAGGTAGTTTAATAAGACAATATCGATGTATTGATAACAAAATCCTTGATAATTGTAACAATGTAAGATAAATGTTTTATCTGGACTCAATCCGTGTTATCATAATATTACCTGTATTTGCAGAGATGAGAACACTGAAAGTAAAACTACAATTGTCACTGTAATCTGAATTAATAATTTTTTTTTACAGTGATTGTAAAAGTTATTGAACCTATTTATAAAACTGTCATTAGATTGTAGGTAACAATATCTAATGCTGGGTACACACACTTGGCAAACTACCTACAGCAAACAGCAAACACGAACATGTGAAGAGACTAATTACGTGTAGACGAGGTATAAGAGCATCACTCTTCCACACTTCAATTTTTAGTTTTGCGTTATCATACAATTCATAACTTAGTTTGAAATAGAATAAAATAACATACCATAACACCACGCCTTTTTATTCCCAAAGGGGTAGGCAGAGGTGCACATTATGCCACTGTACAATGTAACACCCACTTTTCACTATTTATGTTATGAGTCCCATGTAATAGGGGGTGAGCCTATTGCCATATACCGGGCACAATTCCAGACTCCGTACTACTACTGAGATTATTTTAAAAACCCAGTAATACTTTGCCGAACCCGGGAATCGAACCCGAGACCTCTTGCCTGGCAGTCGCACATGCGACCACTTGGCCAACGAGGCAGAATAAAATACAAAAACCTTTATTGTACACGATTAATATTAATAGAACATAAAGAAAAAAGAAATAACATTAAAATAGAAATAGTATAATATTATTATGTAGGTAATTACTGGACTACAACAGGTTATAGATTAACACTGTAATGCATTCTGAGTAGACTTGTTGGTAAACAACATTATGTCCACATTAGGGACGCCTCTCAGTAATGACTTACTGATAAATACTATATTACGTAACAGCTAATCAGCTGACGTATGTGTGTGTGGTCACTTTCTCGAGTACTTGTCTTGTGTCATAATTATTATAATAAATAATAATATAGTTTTAATTTGATTTTATGAAATATATCCACATTTACGTCTTTCTTCTGATCTGATTCACTTTGTTGCGGGAACCAAGACAGTTATTCATATCCCTGGAACGCCGGACTTCAGTGTTTCGGTGTTTTCATGGTTGTATCTATTGTAGATCCTGGCTTACAGATATTTCAGCGGTTTTGGGAGGTTGTGGCGGGCTTAAAATTTAAAAAAAATGAAACTTTTCATGTATCGGGAATACCGTTTTATGCATGTGCACTGTTCATGTGGGTATGGTCATCTTTTATTGAGTGGAACTATTAATATTTAGCAAACACACTTCAAAAGGGTCTGTTCAATCTACAAATGTTCAGTTACCTTGCAATAAACTTTTACCTAAGAATCGATCGTACTTGGTGAACATTATGCAGATATTGCAAAAACTCATTAACTCAGATATTGGTATGAAGTCGATTTCATTACGTTCAGTTTAAGGCGAACTCTTAATTAAATTCTGACGGCAATGGGTTTGGGTTGCGTGGTGTCGCCGCCTGTCGGTCCCAAGCGGTACTACGCGACGCCATGATTTATTGTCGAAGTAACGATGGGATTTGAATATTTGATTTACGAAAGTAATCATTGTTTTCATTAATATTGATACTAATAATATATTTGGGTTTTCGTCTCTTAAAGTGAAGGACTTGTTATTAAATTGTCTCGACTTACCATGGATTTAATTATTCATGAAGTGATTGGTCGAGCTAAAAAAAAACTTTTGATTAAATTAGAGAGCCTAAGTGGACAAGAATGGTTTGATGACGAACATATATAACACCTTGCCTTTTATTTTTCAAAGTGTAGTGAACAGAGCACATGCAGTTTTTGATAGCAATTTATAGCGTTATATGAGAGCCATGTAATAGGAGCTGATGTCAGTACAAATTACTATACTTTCTCAGGCGAATGTTTCTAAAACTCTTGATTCAAAAAAATAATCAAAAGTGATTTTTTCTCACCCAGTATACCGGATACCTTGGTCGGTATATAACTTTGCGATCACATAATTGACGTAGCAATCGAGGTAAATGATGATTATTTAATGCTTTTCTATATACTTCCAGGCCCAGTGCTGGGAGTGAGGCACGTCCAAGTGGTGATGCTGTTCTTCGCCATGGTGATCTGCTTCACCATGAGGGTCAACATCAGCATGGCGATTGTTGCCATGACTGACACTTCTAGTGCTGGAGAAGGCGTAAGTTTATTTTTTTGTTTCTATTCCTGTTACATACGTGTTTAAAGTCGCTTAGTTAGATAATCTAAATGATTTGATACAATTCAACGATTCAACTCAACGATGTAAAACCACTACTCTAATATATTTAAAGCCCGTGTGAGTACGATACTTGGGGCAAGCATGCTCCTTCGTTGACCGCATCTTCGCTTACCACCAGGCGAGATAGTGGCCAAACGTCGACCCATTGCAAATAGAAAAATAACAGAAATTCCCATTTCAAAATATAGAAATTCGTGTTAATTAACACTATTTATTACTCAAGAACGGCTACATTGATTTGGCTGAAAATTGGTGGGGAGGTAGGTTACAACCAAGAGACGAGTGACTGCACGGTTCGTGCGGTGGCTGGGCAACCGGCTGCCGCGCAACGTGTCGCGGATTCGATTCCCGCACGGAACAACACTTTATGTGATCCACAAATTGTTGATCCGGGTCTGGGTGTCATGTGTATGTGAACTTGTATATTTGTAAACGCACCCACGACACAACAGGAGAAAATCCTAGTGTGGGGAACACCTGTGCAACGTATTCTGAAAAAAAAGAAAAAAAAACATGGGACTACCATGGGATAACCAAGGATTTCCCGAAAATCCTACGAGAACGGGAAAATACGGGATTCCGCGTACAAACTCGCGAGCAGAAGCTAGTTTCAAATAAATCTCAGGAAAAATCGTACATATACGTAATAAATATTGTTTTTCATAAAAATCGACGGGTTCTAGTGATCACAGTATTAAAGCAAATAAACTACAAAGTTTTACTATTATTGTTAGCTTAGATTATAGAGGTAATAATAATCTTTAGCTTGACATAATTTACTCTGGACAAATATTTTAAATAAATTATGCAAAGTAAACAATAGCACGTGCGCGTGTGCGGTTATATGTCATGCAGCCATTTTTTATAGATTTGACATTAAGAATGACCTAGTTGACATGTTTTGTGAGTAAAAGACAAGTTTTTGCTTAGGTCATAATAGTTATGTTAGACTTTCTAAAGAAGTTATACTATTAACTTTTAGACACACTAATCTAAGTCAACTGACGTAATATCTGATGAGTAACATAACATAACATGACATCATGCCGAAGGGGAAGGCAGAGTTGCACGTTACGGCACTTATATTAAGTGCATTGTACAACGTAACACCCACTTTTTACTATTGAAGTTATGGGTACTATGTAATTGTATGGCACAATTCCAGACTTCGTGAAACTACTGATTTTTCTTAAAAAATCCAGTGATACTTTACCTGACCCGGAAATCAAACCCGAGACAACTTGCCCGGCAGTCGCACCGTGACCACTCGACCAACGAGGCAGTTATCTGATGTGTCTGTCTGATTCAATTTACGTAATAAATAGTAAATATTGCATTTTACTGTGTTTGTAATAGGGATTCTCAAAATTATACTCAGTCAAAATCTATAGATACAAGAACATACTAATATTCTTTTAGATAAAAGTATTTGATGGCTTCATATAGTGTTATGCAGTTGCATTATTAGGTTACGATTAAAACAAATTCATCAACAGCCTATAAATGCCCACTGCTGTGCAAAGCCTCTTCTCACATGGAGAAGGTTTGAGCATTAATCACCATGCTTGCTCAATATGGGTTGGCGATTACAAACTTATATTAAATTAGAAATGATAAGTCCAGGTTTCCTTACGATGTTTTCCTTTACCGTTTGTCAGTGGTGTCTAAATAATCTTAGAAAGTTCATATAACTCGGAAAAGTCACATTGGTACTTTCCATTGGTAGGTTTCGAAACCGCACCTCACACATAAGAAGCGGGCGTCTTGGACCTCCGGGCCACCACGACATTAAACAAATATGTAGGTATAATAGTTTAAGTTTTTAATGCAATCCTCTCGCTACCTCTCCGCGCATCGCTATCAAAGTAGATGAGCCCTTATCATTTGTTTACAAGTCATAAACCGATTACAAGTTTAGATGTTTAGTAAGTATTAGTTAACCACTCCAGTATTGTTTGTTGAACAGATTAAATAAACTACCACTGTTCTTGTGTATCTTGTCGATCATCTACTGTTAATAAATATCTTATATTTGAATCGCCGTATAGTGCAGTTTAGTTCCAGTATACATTTGAGTTTTTTTCCTTTTTTTATGGAATTAACCGGTAAACCTGGATCACCTGGTGGTAAGCAATCGGCGTCGCCCATGGATACCTGGAACGCCAGAGACTTTACAAGTGCGTTACCGGTCTTTTGGGGATTAGGAGTTTGAGGATTGTTGGGAATTCATGGATTGGAGAGATTGGGGAAGGGAGGGGGGTGGATAATACGGCCTCTGATAACCTTAATCACATGACGAAACACAACACAAGCGTCGCTTCACGTCACTTTTCAGTGAGGCCGTGGTATTACTCCGGTCGAGATGGTCCTTTCGAGCCGAAGCATGGCTCTACCACACTTAAAACTTATGTGCAATAAAGTGGGATGTTCATGGGCTTTTTTTGTTACTTGCCGAGCATTATGATGTTTTGCAGAAAGGTTTGACACTTGATGCTCATCTTTGGTACCTAATGTAGGTAGCAAGTCATTTTTTGTCCTATGTAAAAACCCTAACATTTGATTGTAATTCATATTATTGACAGTGTATAATCTGGTTTGAAGTGGTTCTGCCTATGTTGAAACCGATGGAAACACCAATACTACGATATCAGTGCAGCAGCCGTAGATTATGAAACATTTCACATAAAACAATGATTGATTTGCGTTTGTATCAATTTTGTAATCAGTTACAAAACCTACTCGCATCATAAATTTTATCTACCCCTTTATCTGAATGGAGTGACTCGTTGATGGCATCGTCTCAAACGAGACTGTCCCCAAGAGTTTCTTTGATGTTCAATTGCTTTTTAACCGACTTCAAAAAAAGTATGTGTATGTATGTCTGTGCGCGTTTATCTCGCAATTAGCTGAACCAATTTTGGTTTTGGAGAAGGTTCTAGTATAAAAATTAATTGACTTGAAAAGAAAAAAAGAGGCTGACGTCGGTTTCTTTAAACATAGTTTATCATTCTTTGGAACGATGCCCGAGATGATCAAACTATTTATGGAAATTCCCAGTAATGTCATGTCATGGAATCTGGAACCATGTACTGGGGTAATTAACAAAAGGCGTATCTTACGTTAATGTACAGTGGCCAGTACATCGACTTACTCAAATCTGTCATATTCATTCATTAGATTTTCGACTTTATGTCAATACAAAAAAGTTGAAAAAGTAATTGAGAAAATTGAAAAAAAGGATAGGTCGACCACCTTGCTTATGTGCTTCTGGTTACCCTTTTGAGGATTGTAAGGCTTAATAAATTAATATATTTTCGGCTTACTCACATAGTTATTTGACTAGGAACTCGACTAGTGTCAAGCCCCGGCAAGTTAGGCCTTCCGCGGCTCCGTTTCGGGCAAATGATACAACTGGAATTTTTTATTATATAGTTTAGCATTTTAATTTAATTTATTTGTTTATGTAATGTTACAATGTGATAAGTATTCACGTGCAAGTAACGTCGTGTGACCAATAAATATATCAAAACGATCATCTGAAAACTAGTAAACAAGTACTTAAATATTGTATAGGTACTGACGTATATTCAGATGTTTGTTATCAAAGATATAATCTAGTTTGTGATAAGTGGACTTAGCGACACTGCTTCTGGAGTACTATAGGTAATAACAGGTCAATCGACACCAATGTAGTTTTATTATTTTTGACCTTACTGCAAAACCAAAAAATTGAGATGCCATAGATAAACCTTATCTCCCTTACTCTTTTTAAAAATGGGAAAGTTGATTGCACTAAAATAAACATGAATGCATTTTATGTATATGTAGTTATTTTGTTTATTTATCTTTCTAAGGTTTGAAACGTTTGGTGCGTTCGATTCCCGCACGGCACGATACTCTTTGTGTAATCATTGTTATTTCGGATCTAGATGTCATGCGTATGTGAAATTTGTATGTTCGTTAATGCATCCTCAGGAGAAAATCTTAATGTGTGGCAACGTTTTTTTTTAGGAAAGATAGGAAAAACGACAGCTCGTTTACATTCAATAAGAACAGTAGACATGGCTACAGATCAGGTATCAGCATAACCGTCAAATATGAGGGATTATCATAAGTAGGTACTTGTGTAGGTACATTAAATAAACTAGCAGTAATAAAAATCATATTGTAAAATATATTCAATAACCACTTAGTATGTATCTATATGACAAAGCCACTTCATAAATTGCATACATAATATTGATTGTATATATAATAAATAATCTAAAATTAGATTCGCTAACAATATCACGAGAAACTAGTTTGGCAAGGACACGACACAAAGAAATCCATTAATTGGAATTCGTAGACAAACTCAACACCTGTTTGTTGATAAAACATTGTGTGATTGGTTATTTGTTATCATAATATTACTAAGAAGAAAACGTGTTAAAATTAACGTTCGTCGTGTGAGTGAGGTTACCGGAGGCCCAATTACCCTCGCCTTCCCCAATCTCCCCAATCCCTGAATCCCCAACGATCCTCAAACTCGTAATCCCCAAAAGGTCGGTAACGCAATTGTAACGCCTCTGATGTTTCAGGTGTCCATGGGCGACGCCGATTGCTTACCATCAGGTGATCCGTCTGCTCGTTTATCAGCTTATGCCACAAAAAACGTCTTTAAGGTCTATTCTCTATAGGATAGCAACTTAAACCCATTAGCTTCTTTTTTGTAATATAGAACCATCACTATGATTTTCTCTCATGTCATAAGTGCGTTAGGAAACAAAAACCATCTCATACATCATAAAAAAAGACTTAGGACAACACTTTCTAGATCACATAAAGAATTGTTCCGTTAGAGAATCGAATTTGCTACAGGATCCCCAATCACTGCTCTAATTAAGTCATCAGGCTAATATTTATTAATATGTTTCGTTAAAAAGTTTGTAATGTTAATGTTACTTCTATATATTTCTTTAACATTCTCAATATCAGGCTGGGCAACCGGCTGCCGTGCAACGTGTCGCGGGTTCGATTCCCGCACGGAACAGCACTTTGTGTGATCCACAAATTGTTGTTTCTGGTCTGGGTGTCATTGTGTATGTGAAATTGTATGTTTGTAAACACACCCACGACACAGGAGATAATCCTAGTGTGGGGCAACGTTAAAAAAAAAACAATACATTAATTATTTTAAATACTACTTAACAAAGAATAGGGAGCATGGTCCAAGCTACCGGTGGTTAGGACTCCAGAGATAGAAACCTCCTCACGATAAGTGCCATTTCAAGGAGAACTGCCTTCAGGCCCTTGATCCACCCACCTAACGCCAGCCTCCTAAGATGTGATTATTCTTATGATTACTATTTTTTGATGGAGTTAACGATAAAATATAATTAAGAACATACTTCAACACGTTATCATTATACTTAATTTATAATTGATAATTATCACGAAATAGATTTATCTCATGATTGTTGAAACAACAAACAATTATATTTTATTATTTATACAATCCCATTGACGTGTCGACCTTGACGGACAAAACATTATCCAGTAGTTATTTGTTAGATTTTCGATAATTTTTCCGTAACAGCATGAAGTTTGGAATTGTGTCCGGTATATTACCATTATTACATGTGCGAGGGCCGGCTCGACTATAGTGATACCACAACCTCACAGAAAACCCATGTGAAACAACGCTTGTGTTGTGTTTTATCGTGAGGTTACCGGCAGCCCTTACCTCTCTCCTTAATCTCCCCAACTCCCGAATCCCCAACATGCCTCAAATTTGTAATCCCCAAAAGGCTGGTAATGCACTTGTTACACCTCTGGTGTTTCGGGTGTGCATCAGCCCTAGGTGCCATCAGGTGATTCGTCTGCTCTTAAAAAAAGTTACGTAGATAATTATATTTCAGTTTAGTTTGCACAAACAATTATTGATTCACCAGAATATTAAAATATGGGTTAAAAATAGAGAACCACACTGCAAATATTTGTATATTATGTACTAAAATAGCAATATTGTTCTAAATAAAGTCCGCAATGACGCGAGTCGTCCGTTTACGGTTTAATTATCTACAAACCATAATGTACTAGTTGTCGTAAAGTTGTGAATTAGTATCGCTGTGACACGTGCGGCGACACTAAATGTTCTTAGGAGATGCACAGAGTTTTACATAGTTTCAATTTACAATTAAAATAATCCTTTAGCAGTATACTGTTAAAGGCTATAGTTCGTATCATAGATTCATATAGCTTCTAAACACTAAGGAACATGCATCGTCAACCTATCAAGTAGCCCAGTTTTCTGTTAACTTTTGGTTCTTTAAAATCCCAAGTCCGACTACTTATCACGACAATGAATTATGTTAGATGAAGTATATTCAAAGGATAATGTGAAATTTTATTGTTACCACCTTCAAATAAAAGATCAATACGTTGAGAAATGTTTTCTTGTTCAACACCAAATAAAACCAGTATGGGTTGTTTATCGACTCCCAAACTACAAATGATCAGATGTTATCAACACCGATATCACGGATAAATATTCAAAGTATTGCATCGTCTCCCCGGGGGTGATAAGGCATTGTATTGAAACTGACATTATCTGACTACATCAGATTATTATAAGTGCTGATTATCATACCAAAAGGACATTGATAATATCAGTGGCCTTAAAGTACTGATACATTCGACAGATCTCGCGTGTGCTGAGATAAAAAATACGATAAAAGATCTATGGCAATGATTTGGAAAGTTGCAGCATCATGGATTAACGTCAATGCAATTATGATTAAGATCTTATGCTTTCTCTCTTTAGGATTTTTCAAATATTATGACACGAAGTTGAAGAGTATATTATATTTATACGTTAATGACACAACCACATGGATACTATTTTATTCACCTATGTGTATAGGTTGTGTTTTCAATACAAGGCTATATTCATTTCAAAACAATTATTAATTGATATAAAAGATGTATAATCATTCTGGAGTTATGACATAAGACTCTTTAATATAATCGCAGCTTAAATAATAGGTACTATTATTGTAATTAAAGAAGTTTCTCTTTTTTTCTCCAGGTGTTCGACTGGAACATGCAGATCCAGAGTGTGATCCTATCCTCCTTCTTCTGGGGGTACATAGTACTGCAGATCCCTAGTGGTGAGCTGGCAGCCAGGTACGGAGGTATGATCCTCGTCACCATCTGCATAGCTGTCAACTCTGCCGTGTCGCTGCTCATTCCTATTGCGACTTATTATGTGAGTAGTTTTAGACTTTATTTATCGCTTGTTTGAGTTCTAATTTTAGTGATGATCTTGAACTTGTAAGTGTGTCGTTAAGTAAACATAAAGTACATTAGTTATTGATGATGATGACACATTAATATACTGTAGTTATTAATATTGTAAAGTTTAAAGAATTAAAATTGATGTATTTGATATTCTAGCTAGTTAAGTAACATAACTAACTAATAAAAAGACTCCCGAACAAAGAATTGTCTTGGATGCTTAGATATTAACCAAGTTTTTCATATCAGACTTTTTAAGTTTGTCTCTAAACAAGAAGAAATCATACCATCACCTTATTTGAAACTTTCTTAACCTGGCAAAAAGTTTAATTTAACACGTCCATTCTTTCCCCTCCGGGGAATAAAGGCAGTTGTTTCATAAAAACTGTAATTATTTCAGGGTGGTTGGCAGATGTTGTGCGGATGTCGAGTCCTTCAGGGTCTGTCTCAAGGCTGTTTGTATCCGACGATGCATAACCTTATTGGCAAATGGGTTCCGTTGGAGGAAAAGAGTAGACTCGGGACCCTAATATATGGAGGTACGTTATGATAAACGGAAATTAAACGTCCTTTTCAAATGACCTTTATCTTTTAATACAAAGCGTGGCCTATAGATACTTGTATAGTGACATCAGCTCAATGAAATATTACAGAACTGATAGGAATTGATATTTATAGACATTTTGACTAGAATCTATTTTGATTAGCCTCTAGTCTCGTCATAAAAATAAATTTATCAAGAGACTAGAGGCAGGCCGTCTCAGACTACGCTGGGGCACACAAGAATTCGAAGCCCTTGTGGCATGATAATTTTTTTAACTTTTGCAGTACATTAAGATTTTCTCCTGTATCGAGGTTGCATTTACCCTTTTCATTTGACCCGAAACAACAATTAGTGGATCACACAAAGATGCTTTGTGCGGGAAGCGAACACGGCAACCGGTTACTCGCAACGTGTACCGGGTGTGTGTTTGTCGTAGAAATTGTCCATCCTTCAGGAACCCCCTAAAGATGGGGGCGCGGACCCCTAGTGCCCTTATGGTAAAGACGGTACTCAGTACTGGAGGCTAAGAAAAAGCTGGGTATTAATATGCTCTTATATTAGGCCTTATATTATTTAAACATTTGATGCCATTAGAACTAGTTTATGACAATTGACACTAGCAAATAATAACTAGACACAGAACATTAAGAATGTTTTATAAATACAGGGCTACAGTTAAAAAAACATTAAAACGATGCTTTATTGACGTTGATGAAGGTCAAAATATGCAAACAGACTATTAGATCAATAAAATTCATTGAAAAGATTGATATAGCTAAGTAATTGATGGGAAAATCCAAAAGTGAAGTTCTACAACGCAATGTAGGTAAGACTAAGTTTTTCGAAGAAAAACGTGGTTTATTGACTTGTCTATAATGTTTAAGATAAATAGTATGAACTATGTTTAACTAATGTTTTTTTTTTACTTTATGTATTGAGATGTTGCTACTTTGCAGTTACAATTATTTCATTTCTTAGACTAGTATACTGCAAACTAATTGTAAATTGAAATATTTTGGCGTCCCAGGTCTAGCCTCAAAGTCCCATCAGACCACCACGGATGAGGTCCAATAGGGCTGATGTCAATATGGAGCTGCGGTGAACGTAAGCGGTTACCGGGGCTCCGGCTCGAAGTGTAGGAGTAGGAACGGGGTGGTTTTTAGTCAATAAGAGCCTGACATTCCATCCCGCCTCACCTAGGCGGGAGAAGTCGTTCGATTTTTCCCCCGTTAATAAAAAAAAGCGTAGGTGTATATAGACGTATATGATAGATCTGCTTATCACCATTGCAGTTGTAAGCATTGATTGTGGAGCGATTGTGAACAACAATGATTTATCACTGAGATATTTGACTTAGCAACATAATAATTAACAACAACAGAAGTAGTAACGTTAATTTTATGTTCCAGGTGCTCAGCTGGGAACAGTTATACAGTTAGTAGTATCAGGCTTCATAGCTAACTCCTGGGGCTGGCCAGCCATCTTCTACGTCAACGGTGCTACCGGTGCCATCTGGGTGGTAGCCTACGTGTTCCTCGGCTCTGACTCTCCACAGCGATCGAAGATGATCGGCGATACTGAGCGGTTGTACATTCAAACATCTCTTGGACAAGTGGGAGAGCAGAAGGTACGTCATGCTTAACACAATATAACATCACGCATTTTATCCTCGAAGGGATAGGCACATTACGGCACTTAATGCCACTGTACAATGTAACACCGACTCTTCACTATTTATGTTTTGAGTCCCATGTAATAGGGGGTGAGCCTATTGCCATATACCGGGCACAATTTTAAACTTCGTACTACTAATGAGATTTAAAAAAAAAAAACTAGTAATACTTGACTCAACCCGGGAATCGAACCCGAGACCTCTTACTCGGCAATTCCACTTACATCATATTTAATAAGCTTATTATATCTAATCTAGACAGTGAAATATACTCGAAATCTATTTATATCCTCATCTATTACGCAGCTAAGACTCAATTGGTGTTGTGTACATATTTCCACAAGAGAGTACAGAATCAAAACATTATTACGATCAATCAAATGTTCCCAATAATTACTCCGTCATCTCAATAAATCTCCGAGCTGACAGTTTGCACTGCGCTCAATTATCATCAGCCATCATGTAAATTATACAGAAGATAACATCTGGTTTGTCGAAATGATAACAAGGGTCTAAAGTACCGATTAGATTTATAGTTTTGCAGAAATACAAGAAAATTATTGGAAATATCGCCCCTAGTTATATTAAGTATAGTGATGAATGTGCCCAAATTGAGAATTTATTAAGGTTTGGTTTACATAAGTTAGCTATTGTGTTATAAATTCATTGAAATATGTGTCTGACTATTACAAATTGTTACGTTAATAGTTGAGTTGAACAAATACTGCCAGACACTATTGTGCTTGACTTTATCCCCGCTACTACTATTTGAAGTCAATTTTGAATTTAGACAGAATTATTGAATTTAATTTAAAATAAGGTCTTATTTAACACATTTTTGCGATTTAACATTGCTACTCTGCGACTCGGCAGTTCGATTCGCGAGTTGGCAAAGTATTACTGGATTTAAAAAAATCTCAGTAATAGCACGGAGTCTGGAATTGTGCCCGGCATATGACAATAGGCTCACCCCCTATTACATGGGCCTCATAACATAGATAGTTAAAAGTAGGTGTTATATGGTACACTAATAAGTATTATTACATTATTTAAGTGCCGTTATGTGCACATCTGCCTACCCCTTCGTGGATTAAAGACGTGATGTTATATTATGTACTCTCTTTGTCAGATATTTCGTTATTTAAACTTTCAATACCTTTTCCAGAGGCTACCAACTCCTTGGAAGAAGATCAGCACAAACCTGTCCTTCATTTCCTTGATAGTAGTCCACTGCGGACACAACTGGGGCTTCTGGACCCTGATGACTGAGATGCCGTCATACATGAAGCAAGTGCTCGGAGTTGACATTAAAGCGGTTAGTTATAAACTGTTGTAGTCTGTATAAATTTATAATATAATTTTCCTTTTTTGAATACAGAATAAGTGTGAAAAAAACATTTCTCGTAATTTAAGAAACTTATTTAATTATTTATTTATATTTAAACATTACATTTATCATCACAGGCACACCTAATACAATAAATGCAGTTACAAATTATAAGTAAACTTAAGAAGTAGTACAATCTTCATCAATATTAACTATTACACATACCCTTAACCCTTAATAACCGTAAAATAACTTATACAAAGAAAAACAAAAGAACATATTAAGCACATATAATATTATTATAATAATTGGTAATAGTCATTTATTATTTCTAAGCTTATCCTGAGAACTAATTTTGAACTAAAAGTAAATTATATTATTATCCTTCATTCAATCGCAAAGTCAGTCAAAGTTTAACAACGTTATTGGAGGTTTCTTATATTTTAAAATCTTACTGTAATCTACATCTTGTCACATTGCATAGATGGTATAAAGTAGATGGACAACTGCATGAAGATTGCCTCCTCGGTACCTAAATGAGTATACTTAAAAATTGTTTCTATTCACAGAATGGTCTAATGTCAGCTCTTCCTTACCTGGCGATGTATATGCTGAGTTTCCCCTTCGGATTCCTATCGGATTACATCTTGGAGAAGAAATGGCTCAGCATCAGCACTTGCAGAAAACTTTCTAGTTCTATCGGTACGTTACTAACTAAATACAATCACCAATATACATTTAGGAGCCCGATCATCAATAACCAATCATGATAGCCTACATGACGAATAGCCTCCTCAACCTCTAAAAGTGGAACATTACATATCGCCATATTTAGCAGGCGGGTTGAAAATCCCGGTTTAAAATGATCACAATAAACAGAAAATGCTCCTGCCCGATCTCCGTTGAGACTCGTAGTCAGTATTTACGCTCGCAGCGTTAACCCTAGTTAATGATAAATGTATAGTTCTCTGCCGTCAGCACATACCACAAAATATCATTGGATCCATATTAGTCTGCAAACTATCCCAAACCAAAGTTGAACAAAAGCAAACAAATGGTTTGACAAAACTCTTCGTCTTCCAGGTGAATACGGTCCCGGTTTAGCCCTGATTGCGTTGTGCTACGTGCCCGCTGGTGACGTCATGCTGGCTGTCACTCTACTCACTGTCGTGGTTGGACTTAATGCTGGCCATATGACTGGATATTTGGTAAATATAACAATTAAAATCATATTCAGGAAACGCCAACATATAGAGAATAAGGGTAGAGTATTACTGAAAACTGGAAACAACTATAAATTACATCACCAACAATGGAAAGTTAATAACACCACAACACCTTTCTTCAACAGCTGGTCCACATCGACATGGCTCCAAACTTCGCCGGCACTATGATGGGCATCACGAACTTCTTTGCAAACATCATTGGCATCATCGCTCCTCTAGTTGCTGGAGCTATTCTCCAAGATGAGGTGAGAGATGAATTCAAGTTATATTCTACAATTGTATTACTATTCTCATTTTCTGTTAAACCTTTTGTGTCAAATATCTTATCCAATATTCACTCTTTTTCTAGACCGATCCTACACAATGGCACCAAGTGTTCTACGTATCGTCTGCTATCTACATCGCTACCAATACTTTCTTCGTCGTCTTCGGCACCAGCGAGAGACAGAGTTGGAACGAGCCTGAAAATAGCCAGATTACTGCTGGTGAGTTCACTTTTTTAATTGATGCTTACACAATTCGAAGCACAGAAGATCGCTCTGATTGCAACTAATGTCTTATTAGTGGTTCCTAGACTTTTCTTCCTTACATTTGGTTTCGAAATTTTCGTTTTGAAGAATTTCTACCTGAGTACTTTTATTTAACAAAAATGTTTTAACATGTCTTTTTTATATTTCAGATCCAGAAAAGAAGGCTGAAAAAGTAGTTTAAGAATTCACTGATATAAGTATCCTACCTACCTGTAATGCATTTGTAAATTTTGTAAATATTAATAAATTATGTTTCAACAAAATGAATCTAATTATTTTCGCCAACACTAAATCCCATCAGGTTTCCCCATTATTTAATTCAATATGCATCTGTGCATTAAAATATAAATTGTTCTAAACCTTGGCACAATGCTTTTCTTGGGTACTACATAATCATGTACAAAAGTACGTAATAACGAACAAATAGTTCTATTCCATAAGAACACACACAGTTCCATTTAATATTTTGAAAAAAGGTTTCTTTGATTTACAATGATATCTCAACCTATTCGCAGAACTTTTCATCAACTGATCGCATCGTGATGACAATGACAGATGTCTCTTATCATGCTTTTTGATTTTACAAAGCCTTTTTATAAAATACATAGTTACAAAGCTAGACTTTTTGAACAGGGCTAAATGTAAATTTATAAAGCAGTGAATGTCTTAATGCTGATTGTACCTAGTCATTAAAATGATGTTAAATACAAATTATACCTTCAAAGCGCATAAAAACTATCAATGGATCTGAGGATTGATTGTAAAGTATTCTATAATAATGTGTTCAAGTAAGTCAATTGTTACTATTAGCCATCAGAAAACTTTTGTCTGTGAGCAATAGGATCATTTTCCAAATGAACTGGGATCGGACTTTCTAACAATATAATTTTTAAAACCCCTTTTTTCCAGACAAGATCTTTGGGATTCGTCACCTTCAGGTGCTATTATTATTCTTTGCTTTGGTTCTGGGATTCGCCATGAGAGTCAATATAAGTATGGCCATCGTCGCTATGACAGACAAGAGAAGTGAAGATGTAAGGAACATAGTTGTGTATTTCCTAAAGTCGTTTGACTTCATTCACCTTTATTACAAAATAGCGCGCAGAAAGGCACTGGATGAACGTTCAAGAAGAGGATTATGTTTGGCAACGGCTGATAGTCAACGTTGATGGCCATAATGAAGCTTTCTTCACTATCGCCATCAACGTTAAGTAAAAACATCATCTAGACCGACTTCTTATGGACTGTTTTTTCAATAGCATTTTGACTAGCAACAGTATTAAGTGTAGATATTAATATAATAATTAATTCGGTAACTTCTAAACAGCCATTTGATTGGAGTATGCAAACCCAAAGCGTGGTCTTCTCCTCTTTCTTCTGGGGGTACATAGTGCTGCAGATCCCTAGTGGGGAGTTAGCAGCCAGGTACGGAGGTATGATCCTCATCACCTTGGCCATCGCTGTGAACTCCGCCGTGTCATTGGCTATACCTTATGGAGCATATCATGTGAGTTTAGCAATATCGTAACAGGTAACATGATATTTTTTTCCATACTGCTGTTTTTTGTCTCCTTCAAATATAATTTATCTACAGGGAGGCTGGCAAGGATTATGTCTTCTCCGTGGTATTCAGGGTTTGTCTCAAGGTTGTCTGTTCCCAACTACACATCATCTCATAGGTAAATGGGTCCCTCTGGAAGAGAAAAGCCGGTTCGGTACCTTGATATATGGAGGTAATTTTATGATAAAGAATATTCAGCTAGTAACTGAAATATTTTCTTAGAAAAACATGTTGTTAGCTGTTTGCGAGTATAATAATTTAAATAATTTGTTCAGGTACGTTGCTCGGTACTGGCATACAGATGGTAGCCTCGGGCTACATTGCCGAGTATTGGGGTTGGCCAGCCATTTTCTATATAAATGGTATGCTAGCTGCCGTCTGGGTGATGTTCTACATTTTCCTCGGAGCAGATTCTCCTCAGAAATCAAAAATAATCAGCACAGAGGAGAGAATGTATATACAGACGTCACTTGGACAGACTGACGGTCAAAAGGTTAGCTTGCGAAAACTTTTGTATAAAGGTCAAAGTATGATCGTAAACGCGTTTACTTATATATATATATAAATATACATACATAGCCGTGGTGGCTCGGAGGTTTAAGACACCCGCTTCCGATGCATGAGGATGCGGGTTCGATGAATAACGGTGATTATAAGTTTAATCGTCAACCCGCATTAAGCAAGCGTGGTGATAAATGCTCAAACCTTCTCCTTGTGAGAAGAGGCTTTGCTCAGCAGTGGGAACTTATAGGGTGTTGATGATGTATTTACTTGCATTTTTTTCGTTTATTTAAATGGTTATGTCTCTCAGAGACAACATTGCCCAATCAAAATCACATAAACAACATCACTTATAGCTAAACATCAATTTATACAAAAAATTTTGCCCTGTGTGAAATTGGGCAAGTAAGGAGGCGGTTCTCCACGCCAATATTGTTTAGTCGATTGCAACCAAAACATCCACCCTAACACTTTCATATCGGACACATTCCCTCAGGCCATGAAAAACCTGTACTGAACTTTCAAAGTTTATTTTGTATTTCATAGATATTGAAAACTCCATGGAAGAAGTTAGCCACCAGTGTGCCTTTCATATCTCTGACGGTGATGCACAGCGGACATAACTGGGGCTTCTGGACCCTCATGACTGAGATGCCTTCGTACATGAAGCTAGTGCTTGGAGTCGATATTAAAGAAGTGAGTTTTAAAGAAAACGGAACTATGTATTATAATCACAGTGACAAATGTTCCCAAAAAGATAATCAAAGTTTTCATTGCACTTAGAAATTAATTAAATAATAATATTATCTGTGGATTGTTGATATTAATATTTTATTTTATTTTACAGAGTGGCGCCATGTCAGCTCTGCCGTACTTTGTGATGTATATTTTAAGTTTCCCTTGTGGTTTCATATCGGACTATGGTTTAAAGAATAATTGGTTTAGTATTAACACTTGCAGAAAAGTGTCCAATTCCATTGGTATGTGACTTTGTTTTTTTTTTTATTTCTATGTTAAGTTGTTGGTTACAAGTACAAGAGTTGGTTAGTCCATGTTTACTGGTGTTTTTTTTGAGTAGGTGAATACGGGCCTGCGCTAGCTTTGATAGCACTGTGCCACGCTCCTGCTGGTGACGTCACTCAGGCGGTAGGTCTGCTCACACTCGTCGTCGGCCTTAACGCGGGACATTTGTCTGGATTTATGGTAATGCTTTACATTTTATCATTTCTGCTTTCACCACCTGTTGTTTATATGTACATTCAAACTAAACTAATTTTGTATTCCATGGTCTTGTCATGAACAGCTGGTCCACATCGATATGGCCCCCAACTTTGCGGGAACCATGATGGGCATCACCACCTTCTTCGCTAATGTCGTTTCTATCATCGCACCTCTAGTGGCTGGAATTATACTTGAAGACGAGGTAAAATTGTAATGAATAATTTCCTTAACTTTTTCTATGAACTAATTTATGAACATACATATTTCCGAGTCATATTTAAATGTAGTTAATGGAATCATACACTTCGATACAGTACACGGTTGTTTCTCCTTAGTACGACTTCGACCAATGGCGTCTGGTATTCTATGTGACGTCAGGTATCTACATGGTCACCAACACCATCTTCATTATCTTCGGAACAAGTGCAAGGCAGCCTTGGAATGAGGCTCCTGATGCAGACGATGCTGAAACTAGACCAAGTAAGAACAGACGAATAGACAAAGCAATCTATTATTGTATGGGTTTTTAATAAGAGACTCTAATTTATTTTTCTCATCAGATCCAGAAGTTGTGGAAAATAAAAGCGACAACTGAATGCATCCTGTAACCAGGCCTGGTTCAATTTAATTTCCATCAGTCCTATTGTACCTGCCACCAATGGAGATTCTACAAAAATAACTTATTTTAGTTTAATAATAAATATCTTACGACTGTCTACGAGATCACACCAGAGTCTCCTGATATTTTAGATGAAGGGCTGTTGTGTTTGTGTACTTACCCTGTTACGTTTGTAAATTTTGTAAATATAAATAAATAATGTTTAGCCTTTATAGACTCTTTAGCATTTATTTATCTCCCGTACCGGTATCACATTAGTGTTGGTTTTATTTCTAATAGAAAAACGTTATTTTAACTAGTGATGGAAGTGCTGGAGAAATATTTAACTCAGGGTCTTTACGCTCATAGTAGTGAAGGGTTTAAATACATCGGTTAAATGATATCTCCTTTCAGATTTAAGCATAGAGTATAATAATTGTCATGTTATCAACTTTAAAATCAGATAGAGTAAACTATGGGTACCGTAAAATAGAGAAAAGGGGTGAATAGATATTATTAGGAAATTTTTCATAGTATCTATTCACCCCATTTCTTTAACAATTCACCACCCGAACAGTATTCAGCCTGTTTTATCTACCCGTTATTATAAGCACAAAGCATGAGCGTCATACCCATAGAGTTATATAGTCATACCTACTTACTCGCTCTTTGCGTCATTGTGACAGGAGCCCAGTAGCCATTGACAAATTTAATATGACAGAACTCACTCATATGGAAAATGCTCTGATAAGTTCCTCGAATGGAATTAATATATATGAATCTTTTTGGACAGATCTGTACATTATTTGCAATGACGACGTATATAATACAGGAATATAAATATATTCTGGATTAGGTTTGAGGAAGTTCCCTGGTACAAGTAGTATAGATGTGTCTTAGTAAGTTTACACAAGTGCAGCAGGTTGTTTATCGATGGTGATTCAGTTTCTTTATAGATCAAGGTCGAACAAAAACCCTACGCCAATTTGCCAACAAAAATAGTGGAAGAATTACAGCCATATATAATATCACCTACTTATTATGCGAATCTAAAGATTTTTTTATGGGATAAGCCGGTAAATGGGCAAACAGATCACCTGATGGTAAGCAATCGGCGTCGCCCATAGACACCTGAAACACCAGAGGCGTTACAAGTGCGTTACCGGCCTTTTGGGAATTAGGAATTTGAGGATTGTGGGGGATTCGGAGATTGGGGAGACTGGGGAAGGGGGTGATTGGGCCTCCTGTAACCTCACTCACACGACGAAACAAAACGCAAGCGTTGTTTCACGTTTGTTTTCTGTGAGGCCGTGGTATCACTCCGGTCGAGCCGGCCCATTCGTGCCAAAGCATGGCTCTCTCACACTCTCGCAAATATAGATCACACTTGGTTTTTTTAGGCATCTTGTGAATTTCGTAACTATTGTCGATTTGAAATTAATAAATTAAAGTGTATTTATTTCTATTGCAGAAACAAAGTTAGGAACTAGGCATGTCCAAGTGTTATTTTTATTTTTAGCACTAGCAATATGTTTTTCAATGAGAGTCAACATGAGTATGGCTATTGTTGCTATGATAGAAGGTGATATCGATGGAGTAAGTTCAAATAATATATTACTCGATAAACCATCAACCTTTTACTGCTTCGGAATCCACTAAAACAATTAAATTAAAAAGCAATCGATCATGACCTTATTAAAAGTTGTATTTATTGTTTTTCATGCAAGTACGGATTGAGACCAAGCGGTAGCTTTACAACTAACCATAGATTTGATTACTGTACGAAAGAATTTTTATGTGGTCCGCAAATGCTTTGTCTTGTTATATTGTGTACCTACGTAAAATTATGTTTTTAAACGCACCAACACAAGATAAAATTAGTGTGAATGTGGAGAACTTTAAAAATGTCTCCTGTTGGAATTACATACATACATAACTTCACGCCTGTCTCCCATGGGGGTAGGCAGAGACCAAGGAACGCCAATTACTACGATTCTTACATACCTCTTTCTCTGTTGGAATTATATTGTAATATCATTTCTATTCTCAGACCGACGCCATCTAGTCAATATGATCGGTTTAATATGTCTGCTTCTCTTTTAGTCATTTGATTGGGATATGCAAATTCAGAGCTACGTCTTAACTTCTTTCCTCTGGGGATACATAGTACTACAGATCCCTAGTGGCGCACTCGAAGCTAAATATGGGGCCAAACTGCTCCTTATTTTATGTATAGTTGTAAACTCAGCAGTCTCTCTAACGATACCCGCCATGGCATATAAGGTAAGAATGAAGTTTTAAATGTAGAATTGCTTATATTAGATTGTATTAATTTTTTTTTAATCGCTGCTGCAAACTATTATGTATAATCTCCTGAGCCATGGGTGCATTTATGGTACTGTAACTGTGATATTTGAAGTAACTAGAGCTGTACCTAGTGATAATGAAGTCAAGTTAACATAATTGTATTGTAACTTTCGTGAGACATACTAAATAAATTATTATGTTTTCGGCTTACTCACGTAGTAAGTGAGCAGCATTTCGCGACTCGCGACGCGGCGACTGTCGCGCTGCTACTGTCATGAATATGAGCCTCTAGCATGGCTTGAAACTAGTCGAGTTCCTCGTCGAATTACTACGTGAGTAAGCCGAAAACATAATAATTTACGTTAACATAATGTTTAGAGTAGTATGTAAATTTCAAGTACCAAAATTTATTATAGTTCCTAAATAAAATCGAGTACAGATGATTAATTGTTGTGCATTGTCTTCAGGCAAGGTGGACAGGACTCTGTTTCTGCCGTGTTATACAAGGTCTCGCTCAAGGCTGCTTATTTCCCTCAACACACAGTCTAGTCAGCAGGTGGATCCCTATCCATGAAATGGGATTACTAGGCTCTGTGGTATATGGTGGCAAGTACTCTAAGATTCAAACTTAAAGGGTAGGGTAGGTAACCCCAAACGAGTAGATGTATCACCTGAAGGTAAGCCTGGTCACCCTGCAACACTAGGGAAGTTACAAATGCGTTGCCAGCCTTTTGCAGGTTAAATATTAAAGAATTTGGGGATGGAGAGATTGGAAAAGTGGGGATTGGGCCTCCGATAATCTCACTGATACGGTGAAATACAACACGAGCATAGTTTCAAGCCGGTTTTCTGTGGGACCGCGGTATCCCTTCGATCAAGTCGACCCATACGTGCCGAGTGTGCCGAACAAAGCATAGCTCTCTCACATTGAAAGAAATTATACTTCACTTTAAATGAACCATGAAGGTATATAATAATAATTAATATATCCTTTCAGGAACGTTTCTGGGCACAAGCATACAGTTATTGGTATCTGGTTTTATTATACAACATTGGGGTTGGCCCACAATTTTTTACGTCAACGGAACCTGTGGGACTATTTGGTTCGTATTCTATATGTATTTTGGATCAGACAGTCCTCAGAAATCTAATCTTATAAGTACTGAAGAAAAACATTACATTCTATCGTCAATGCAAGTCTTTGAGGAGTCAAAGGTACCCATTAAAATACAGTCAGGTTAATTACATCAAGCTATATAAAACCAGTTTATTAAGTTCTTGCTTTGTACGATCTTTTGGTACATTCAAAGGTCAGTTTATACTGGTTTTGTATAAGTTGATGTGTAGCTGTCTATGCAATAATAATGCGACAAAGTCTATAAAATTAAATTTATTATCGGTTAGCTGAAGAATACTCCTTGGAAGCAGATAATGTTAAGTTGCCCTTTCTACGCGCTACTGACGTCACACTGCGGTCATAACTGGGGGTTCTGGACGCTCATCACAGAGTTACCGACGTACATGAACGATGTTTTAGGCGTACATATTTCACAGGTTTGTTGTAACATAACATAGCATCACTCCTTTTATCCCCGAAGAGGTAGGCAGGGGTGCACATTACGACACTTAATGCACCTGTATAACGTAACACCCACTTTCACTATTTATGTTATGTGTCCCATGTAATTGGGGTGAGCCTATTGCCATATACCGGGCACAGTTCCAGAATCCGAGCAACTACTAAGATTTTTTCAAAACTGTGTACCTAATACTTTGCCCGACCCAGGAATCGACCCGTCAGTTGCACTTGCAACCACTCGGCCAACGAGGTTCGTAGCCTTTACAGATAATTGTAATTAGTTAAGAATTATTTAGGTTTTCACTGCACATGAATAAGTTTCAACTAATGAGAGGATCTTCGATAAGTCAAGAGGTTTATTTGACTCAGTATTTGTAAGTTTGGAAGTAAAACTGCAGTACTCATACTCTACTAACATTTTTAAAGTATGAGTACTGCGTTGCAAGTCCAAATTTCTAAAGTTCCAACCTACACGTAATGTCATTGTGTATTTAAGATGTTCGCTCTTTATTATCTGGTGTTATATCAATTGCCCTGTTTATTTGAAATTGTAACTTAATTTTAGTTCAATTGGAATTTAAGTGTGGGAGAGCCATGCTCCGGCACGAATGGGCCGGCTCGACCGGAGTGATGTGACGGCCTCACAGAAAACCGACGTGAAGCAACGCTTGCGTTGTGTTTCGTCGTGTGAGTGAGGTTACCGGAGGCCTAAGTACTCTCCTCTTCCTCAATCACCCTCCCCTTCCCCAATCTCCCCAATTCCTGAATCCCCAACGATCCTCAAACTCCTAATCCCCAAAAGGCCAGTAACGCACTTTGTAGCGCCTCTGGTGTTCCAAGTGTCCATGACCGACGCCGATTGCTTACCATCAGGTGATCCGTCTGCTCGTTTACCGGCTTATGCCATAAAAAAACCCATCCCCTATAACAGATCGGTCTGATATTTTATACACACTCGTAATTTTCATGACCATACAATATTATAATCTAAAATTTTCCACAACTAACATTATGGGTATCAAACAAAAGGGTTTGATTGGTAGGATAGAGCTAATTAAAACCGTTTAACATAAAAATAATTTCAGAATGGTCTTTTACTAGCGATCCCCTATATGACGCTATATGTCTTGAGTTTTCCATTCGGATTCCTGACGGACCTTGCAATGAAGCACAACTGGTGCAGCATCACCACTTGTAGAAAGACATGCAATTCTATTGGTTAGTGGTTGAACATTGTCATTTGTAGTGATTATAGATAATAATATTATGTCGTGTTTCAATGAAGACTGCCAATACTTTGTTTACCAAATGATGCTAACGTAGACTTCACGTATCTTCGTCCAATCTATCTATACATATAATAAAATCGTAGGATTGTGAAAACTAATAGGATTGTGAATATATTTTTCTATCCACAATCGAGAAGAATCACGATCTACAATCGATATCGAATCCAAAAATATGCTTTTTTGTCTGTTTGTTTGTGTGTATGTCTGGTTAAACTCAAAAAGTACTGTATGGACTTACTTCAAATTTTGCAAGAATATTACTAACAGGTCAGTTCAACATATAGGCTCCATATTATCACGCTATCATCTACGGGGGAGGAGCTGTAAATCACTATTCCGCGGGGTTGAAGTCGCGGGCACAGCTAGTAGACTATAAATTAACTAATGTAAAGCAATTGAACATTACATTTTCAATAGCATCTTACGCTACATTACCGCCACCTGGTGAGTAAAACGCTCTTCATTCAGACCTTTTTAATTACAGGTGAGTTTGGTCCTGCAATAATGCTTATAGTATTATGTCAGTTACCTCCTGGTCAGGTCACGTTGACTGTTGCTATGTTGTCAGGCGTGGTTGGACTCAGCGCTGGACATCTGACCGGTATATGGGTAAGAATTTAAAGGCTTACGCAGACCGTAGCATCCATAGCAAGGGATCTTGCCGTCAGTCAGCCCACACTAGCCGCTTAGATTCTGTGGCATTCCAGCGCGTTGCCACGGTATACCGCGGCACGCCAAATCTCTTCTTGGCAGCTCACTTTTAGTCTTCAGTTACGTTATCTACTTACGCTGCCTCATCCCGCGGTATGTAACAAAGAGTGCCAGAATCCTTAGCAAGCCGTTACCTACCGCGGTATGCCACGGGATCCCGCCGCAGGAACCCGTGGCGCATCTTTCAATGCCATGGAAGACAATCCCTTTCGATGCCACAACATCATTTATAAAGCACAGCAATTTATGTTGTATTTCTATATCGATACGTTTGAATGTCCATTCGCAAGAATTTGATTCCCTTGCTCTGCTATCCCGGACTTCCTATCCTATCCCTTAAGTTTAGTATTTCTGGTAATTAGGTATATTACACAACAATTTTCCTATAGAGGTAATATTAATAACATGCTTCAAGAACCTTACTGCTGAGCAATGATCTCTTCTTACACGGAGATACATTTACTCAGGACATCAACAGCCTCTAAGTGAGTGGGCTGTTGATGTGATTATTCACTTGAGGATTGCGAATAGTCATAATTCTTTGTAACATTGTATATTGATATGTTAAAATATATATTACAAATATTTTTTAAATCGGCCCTGTAGTTTCGGAGCCTATTCAATACAAACAAATAAACAAAATATCAAATCTTTCCTCTTGCTCGTTCTGCTCCATTCGAATCTACATTTTAAAATGAGCACCTAGCTTCACCTAACTTGACTGACGGACTGACTGACAGACTATTATTTATTTTGTATTTGTTGACGTTCCGAATGTACCAAAATATGGTTTAATTGTAATAAATGCTTTGACTTTAACTATGTTTAAACTTACCTCCAGCTGACACATATCGATATGTCGCCAAATTTCGCCGGCAGTGTGATGGGAATCACCAACTTCTTCGCCAACATCACGGGTATAGTCGCACCACTGGTAGCAGGGGTTGTAATCACAGATGAGGTGAGAAACCACGTCATATTTTTTACAATGAATGATTTTGTCTAAAACCGTTAAGTGTATGACTGTTTGTGTGCCTTTTTCTGTTATAAATTATACTTGTTCTACGTTATTTTTTACACAATCTATTCATCTTTTGACGTGACAACGTCTTATAAATTGGTTTGCCGGCTGACACTTCAAGAAACTGCGTTACGTTATGCGCTCACAATGAGAGCGAGTGAGAGGCACGCGTCCCTTCCACTCGGGCATGGTTAGCCCGCCTAAGAGCGAGAGAGACAAACATAAAAAGTGAAAGGCACGCGAATAAATATTCACATTAAAATTATTTTACCACTCAAAGTCGTTGTCACGTAAAACTTTCGCCCGTATACCGACTTTTTTTATCATTATTCGCACATTTCACCCCTTTGTGTAAGTAACACCCGCTGGTTAGTTACTATTCCCTTAACTCGTCTATCCAACAAATAAAATGAACCTTCGATATTACAAAACAAATACTTTATCTTATCTCAGTTTAAAAAAAACAATATTTAAAAATTTAGCATACATAAAGCATAATATTTTGTATTCACAGACAGATCCAAAACAGTGGCATACTGTGTTCTATATATCATCGGCTATATACTTCGTGACCAACTTGGTGTATATCATATTCGGGAGCAGCGAGGTGCAACCTTGGAACGACCCTGACTACATGGCCACTCCGACAACCCCACAAAGTAACTAATATAGATTTTTTATTTCTATATACCGTTATTTCAAACAAAATATTTATCTATACGCTTGGCATAGTGGCTGAGCGACCAGCTGCTGTGCAACGTGTCGCGGGTTCAATTCCCACGTCTGGCAGTGAAAATGACATTTTCGAAGTAAAATGGCCATTATAAGTCCAGAGTCAGGTTATTGCGACGGTATTTGTAACCTCGTGCCTCGGAATGCACGTAAAGCTGCTGCACCTGCGCTGGTTCAAAGAGTAAGGGAACATAAAGCGCTCCTGTGTTTGCGCACACACTTATGCATTATAATATTTCCAGCAGAATGGGCTAGTCAAGTTACACTGGCCACTATGATCGAAATCGTTCGGGAGACTTAATTTATTTATAAATTATTTTATTTTATTAATTAAAACAACAACAAACAACAAATCAACAGCCTATAAATGCCCACTGCTGAGCAAAGCCTCGTCTCACGCGGAGAAGGTTTGAGCATTAATAACCACGCTTGCTCAATGCGGGTTGGCGATTACAAAGTTATAATTAGAAATTATAACCGCGGGTTTCCTCGCGATGTTTTCTTTCACCGTTTGTCAGTGGTGTCTAGGTAATCTCAAAAAGTACATATAACTCGGAACAAGTCACATTGGGTACTTGCCGTTGGTAGGTTTCGAACCCACACCCTCATGCATGAGAAACGGGCATCTTTAACCTCCGGGCCACCATTTTATAAATTATAAACTTTTAATTTCAGAACCAAGGCCGAGTGTAACGGAAAGAAATTCGATGAGTCGCATTCGTCGGTTGTCAGCTGTCAGTAATTAATTATATATGATATATTTATTGTGTATTTTATTAATACACATGCAAGATTATCAGCATTTATCATCTTATTTTTTGTTCTGGTAGGCATAATAGAATATTTAAGTACATAAAAACAGGTTAGTGATTGGTTTATTATGTTTTCGGCTTCTCACGTAATTATTTTAGGAACTCGACTAGTTTCAAGCCATGCTAGAGGCCTATATTCATGAGCAGCATTAACTAGTCGAGTTCTTCGTCAAATAATTACGTAAGTAAGCCGAAAAAAGTAATAATTAATTTAGTATGTCTCACGAAAATTATAATATAACAAACTAAATAAAGCTTGTAATATAGTGAGTAGTTTGTTACTAATAAATTCTAGGTTTTAATTTTTGAGGAGGGAAACATCCAATGACTTCTCCCGCCTTGTATGAGGCGAAAGGGAATGTCAGACTTACTAAAAACCACCCTGTTTCTACTTCTGGTCTTCGACCCGGATCTGTAGCAACCCGTTAAGTTCTCTGCGGCTCCGTATCGGGCATCGGCCCTATAGGCCCTCATCTGTGGTGGTCTGATGGCTGTTAGAGGCGCGCGCACAACGCGATGCGCCGTACGCTCGGGTCCGATACTGGTCGGTTGAGGTCTTACAATGAAACAATGAAAAAAACAAACATAAACCGAACCGATTTTGATGCGGACTTGGGGAAAAATTGTGGTATATTGTTTCTTAAAAAAAGGTCGGATTTTTATATGTCGTTTATAGAATTATTATTATATTATGGATTATACCTATTACCATTACCTAAGTTGTTCTGACTCTTAACCCATCAGTGGGTGTGTTATCTATAAATACGTATGACTAATAACAGTCATTCATAACAAAAACACTTCTGGCTGTAGAATTATTTACATCTAAAACGCATGTTTAATGTGTACTTTTGATCCTGTACTCAAAAGGCATGGTACAGTACATCAGACAGGCATCGTAGAAGATGGATCAGCGGGGTAATCTATGGATTAAGTTAAGCTGGTGAGCCGAGCCCCGAGCCTTGTGCGTTCTGCTATCTCGGATAATTTCCCTAATCTGTTCTGTTAACGTGCCGACAGAGACATCTAGTTTGGGAAATAGATACTTTTAAAAAAGAATAGTATTCAGAATTTAAATTAACTAAATATCGCGGGTTATTCACATTGAATATACTGAGAAAAGTTCTACTAGTTCTGAGCCACAGTGGGCCTGTAGGCTGTGTGACATCTCCGCGATCAAGCACGCTTCTCATAAGAAAGATTCCATCTGTGGCTCTTCTGTCGAAACGAGTAGAGTAACCCGCGATTTTTAGTTAGTTTAGTATCTCTCACGATAGCTATTAAAATAACAGTATTCAGTATTTTTGTTACATAAAAGAAATAATCGGTAATAAATGAGAGTTTTTGTTTGGAAGACAGGTTCTTATAAGTCGTAATTACTATGCATTAGTATTGTCAGTAAGTAATCTATGAAATACTATAAATTATTTGTGCATATTTATAAAAGAAATAAATTCTTATATTGGAATATTTCACTAAACTTAAACAAGATATTTGTACCTATTGCAAAACATTTTGTAAATGAAAATATTACATTTTAACGAAAAGATTGTTTGTTCATAATATTACAACCGTGACTTCTGTATCTCTTAAATATCTTAACAAGCTAAGGTGTGAGTCCGAGAACATAAAATATAGAGCGCAATACTTTGTTCAGTACATTGCATAAATCTCTCTGCTCGAGATTGCATTGGGTCTGCATCGAAGCCATCTATTCCTAAGTATGCTAATTTTAATCGTATATTGCTACCACTTCGCTAGGGGATGAGATTTTATATTTAAGTATAGTTATTGTTATTTGTGATACTATACTGTCTATTGTGGACCCAAAGTTAATCTGGACCTCCGATGGTGACCTTCGTGGTGTGTAGTTCCGTTCTTTTATGTGATAAGCCGGTGAACGAGCAGACAGATCACCTGATGGTAAGCAATCGGCGTCGTGCATGGACACTAGGAACACCAGAGGCGCTACAAGTTCGTTACCGGCCTTTTGTGGATTTGAAATCTAAGAATTGTTGGGGATTCATAGATAAGGGAGATTGGGCCTCCGGTAACCTCACTCACATAACGAAACACAACGCAAGCGTTGCTTCACTTCGGTTTTCTGTGAGGCCGTGGTATCACTCCAGTCGAGCCGAAGCATGACTCTCCCACGCTCTTCCTTTTTCAATATTGATTTGCATGAAACCATCTCACAGTCTTTGCGGTATATGATAATGACATTGAAGTTATTGACTGTCCTATTTATATAACTTTTAAGTAGTCGACTTAGCATCTATTAGACTGGTAGCTGTTTTCACAAACCACTCCTACACCGCCTTTTAACAAAGTAACCTAGTATTATGTAGCACCTAAACTATCCCCTTACTTGTACTATTAGATGAACCAATAGATTTGTAAAAACCAAAAAATGTCGTTTTTATATTATGTCGCCTATCTTAGCTTAGGGTTGCCTTAAAATTTAGGAGAGATTCTGAAAATGGACATGAAATTCATAATAGGTTGTTGACAAATAATGGCTACTGTTTAATACCTAATGTGACTGTTCTCTCATTGTTCACATTTACTATTCATTAATTCTCTCTGCCTACTCACAAAGCGAGTGTCGTGAAGTTGCAAGCTCCATTATTTATATATTCGTCTGTTCATAGGTTTGTTTGTACATTAATATGTATTTATTCAATGGCTTTGTTTATAATTCTTTTTGCTTTATTATCTTGCGGAGGTTGTGGTTTTATGTTACCCTTTAGACTCATATTCATTATTTTTTTGGTATCGGTTGGTTGGATTTGTTTTTGTAGTTGATGAGCATAACAATTTATGTATGTATACCATTTTTCATGAAAGAAACGTAGATGACGTTGTTTGGTGTATCTGTAGTCATTACTGTATTGTTTTTTATGTAAAGTATTTAAGAAACAACATGAAGGCTAAGGACTCACGGCGGATTTCTCTCGCGCCCGCATTCGGGCACTTTGCGATCACTTGGCGGGTGATCGCAATTAGACCACCGGTCTGGAACTCAAATGATTGTTTAACCGCCCGCCCGTTTTACGATAACTAACCACCAAGTTTGTGGGTGATAATCACCGCCGCGGGGCTGTGGGATCGCACAAAACTGCGGTCTCGTGAGTTTTGAAAATACCGCCGCCATTCCTCCTCCGCCGCGGCCGCGCAAAAATCGTGCCGTGAGTCTATAGCTTAATTTTTTATCGTAATACTCTACTGAGTTCCTACTTTAGTTAAATCTCTGACAAAAATACATAAATTCTTAACAGTATTAACAAACACAATACTAACAGTTCACACAAAACGTCGTAAATCATAAAAGACAACTTATAACAACAATACCATATTCGATTATACATCGACGGTACAAACACGTATCGCGTCCAATTGTACATTTTTTAGACGATATAAATCTAGAACGGGACACAGGAATATATGCTCTGGGGACACATATCACTAACATTGGACGCCGGGTTTTAATTTAAAAATTCTCATATAAACAAGTAACAAATCAAATGACGTAACATTCGACCGGTCGTTTGGAGGGGTGACACTGAAATAAGAACTGTGTATGTACTATATACGGTTTTATTTGTGTTTCGTGCAGTTTTCTATGAATAACAAAAACGTTAAAAATTGTAAGTATTAGCTAGACTTTCATGGTCTTGATAGGTTTCCATCCTTGGCATCTGTATAATAGGTACCTATTATTGAACGACTGCTTCATTGGCCGAGTGGTCGCAAGTACGGCAAGGGGTCTCGGGTTCGATTCCCGGGTTGGGCAAAGTATTTCTGGGTGTTTCTGTAGTAGTACGGGGCCTGGAAATGTACCCGGTATATGGAAATTAGGCTCACCCCCTATTAAATAAGTAGTTAAAAGTGGATGTTACATTGTTAAGTGCTATAATGTGCACCTCTGCCTACCCGGTCAGGGATAAAAGGCGTGATGTTATGTTTATGTGTTATAGAACCAGCTGCGTATAAAATGTCAGAAAATTACAATGGGCTCGTTTCTTATTTGCAAGCAATTCGAATTTTCAAATGGCGAAAATGACATAGAGTTTGGATTTGAGCCTACTTTCGCTACAAAATTCGGATAACAATATGATTCATA